TTATGTATGGAATGAAAGAAGCAGGAAGTAACGGGGACTATAAAGACTTAAATAGTTTAGCCACAAGTTCTAAGAGGAAGTGTCATGTCACTGAGAATGATGTGTGCCTATTCCAGAAACTAGAGAATTGTGGGTATTGGGATGGGAAGTGTAGGTGGGAAGTGTAGGTGGGAAGTGAATGGTGGGAAGTGTAGAGGAACCTGGGGAAAGGAGGAGAGAAAGTGGTTCTCATCACCATGAAAAGGTGGTGCTAAGGCAGAGAAAACAGAAGAGTAGACACGGGAAGGATAGGAAACTGGGGCAGTGATGAAAGTGTGGGTTTGGAATTACTGAACTTGAGATGGAAGGAGAATATGTCCGTATGGAGAAGTCCAGCAATCAGTCCAGCAATCAATCTGAGGATAGAGTTGTCAATTTAGGAGTCATTCACAGGGATGTCTTATTTGGTACTTAGAGAAGAATGGTTTTATTAAGAGTTAACACAGATAAATAGAAAAGAAACTGGAAATCTACATTAAGGGAACTGGAAGAGTAAAAGAGGGATGGTCGAGGCAAATAATCCAAGGATTTAAAAGAAATTTTCAAATAGCAACTTATTGAAAGGATGATATCATTCATCCTTTCAATAAATATGTACATACTTACCAGCACTGTTGTAGAGTCTGAAACTACTGCAGATTCTCTATAATTCAGTTCTGCATGGAATTGAAACTTTTCTCATCCATTCACCATCAATATTATCAACCTTTTCCTCCCTTCCCATATTATCTCTTTTTTTCAAATTGATTTTAGAGAAAGGGAGAGGAGGATAGGGAGACAGGAGAGGAGAGACATCAATGTGAAATAGATGTGTCAATTGGCTGCCTTCCATATGTGCCCTGTTTGGGAATCAAACCTTGAACCTTCCAGTGCATAGGGACGATACTCCAACCAACACCGCAGGGCTCCCCCTTACCAATATTATAGTCAAAACGTATTTCATAAAACTTAGCATAAGTGGTTCAGAAAAGATATAAGTATTTGAATCTTAAACATGAGAAATAGTAATTTATAAAAGTAAAGGGAGTATGTGAAGATATGTTTGTGTTGAAGTTTGATGAGCTTAATCTAATTTATTTAAGTGGTTGAAATAAATGACTATGTTTATGCAGGCCACTAAGAAACAAAATTTGACTGTTAGCTAATTTTCCCATGTTTCCTGAATTTTTTAAAAGGTAGCAATTTTAATACCAGCAATATTGATCTTATATTGTCTCCCTATTACTAAATCTTCCCATAAAGTCTTCTGAAGACTTCTTGTTAGCTTTGCTTTTTCCAAAATGGCTTTATAACTTAAATATACAATTTCTAGGTCTGTTATTTAGAGAGAATTTGTGTTTAAATGCATTTGCAATTATAATTTAGTGACATCATACAATTTGGAGTGTTTTATTTAAGGTAAATAAATATACCCATTTCTATGCAAAAGAATATAGACTTTCTGGCCTCTTGCAATTTAATTAGTGCTGTCTTATTTTAAAAAAATAAAATGTTGTTTGATGATATGATTTGTGGAATTTTGCTTTACATGAGATCCCAACATCTGACTTTTTCAGCATCTGAATGTTTTTAAAACCAATTCTGAAACCCCTTATATAACATAATTTGGGCCTCTTTAAATGCATTAGAGCTCTAAGCTTATTCAGAGTAAGTTTATTTCTGTTGGATGATTCTCTGTACCCACTAGTCATTTGCTTTTAAAAATATTTGACCATAATTTGTTCACATAAGTTGACTTGTCTGCCTTAAGTTAAATACTGAAATGTGAAGACGATTTATTATGACCATTATAAGAATAGAATTGTCCTAGAGAAGACCTTTTTGGGACCATTAGTGCCTAGATTAAGCAGACTTTTTAAATATTTAATGGTTAATTTAGGTTAACTTGAATGAATTTGTCTCACTTTTTTAGAATATATTTTATTGATTTTTTTTTTTTTTTCGGAGAGGAAGGGAAAGAGAGAAGGATAGAGAGCTAGAAACACCAATGAGAAACATTGATCAGCTGCCTCCTGTACACCTCCTACTGGGGATGTGTCCGCAACCAAGGTACATGCCCTTGACCAGAATCAAATCCAGGATCCTTCAGTCCTCAGACTGATGCTCTATCCACTGAGCCAAACCAGTTAGGGCTCTGTCACTTTTTTTAAGCAGTAATGAAATAAATATAAAGTATTGCATCAGCCCTGGCCAGGTGGCTCAGTTGGTTGGACATCACCTCATACCCAGGGGATCATGGGTTCCATCCCTGGTCAGGGTGTGTACCAGAGGTAACCCATTACTGTTTCTCTCTCACATTATCTCTCTCTCTCCCTTCCTCTTGCTTTAAAAATCAGTGAAAAAACAAAATATTGCAAAAAAAAAAACCTTTTAGTTGAAATGCCAAAATATCTGCATTCAGATTTGTTATCTTCTTTAAAGAAAACCTGTTAAGGGGTAAAGTTCACAGATCATTTTGGGAATGCTTTTTGAAGGACTTGCATGGTTTTTTCACTTTCCTCCATAGTGACAAAGTATCTTTTGAGAGCAAGTTTGATTTTTTTTTTTATAGTACTCATATATCACTTGGAGCTAAATTTAGAAGAAATGTAGTTGATAAGATTGAGAGCTTCTTTGAGAAATAAAGGGTAACTTTTGAAAAATGATTTTCTTTGGCTTTAATTTTTTTAAAAACTCTTCAAAAGGTAAGTTAATGGTTTTCTGAAATAATTATTTTTAATGGATATCACTTATATATATGGTATATTCTAAAATGATTATCAAACTTGTTATTTTATAGTCACTTCTCTTTGTTTTTAAATTAGGGATATAAATCATTTTCAATTAGGATAACAAAGAAATAAAGATGATCTATTTTATTCCTCCTGTATTAGTATATCAGGTGTACCGGTTAATAATGTGGATTTTATAATCAAAGAAAACATGATAATTTCAAGAGAAACATCAAAAGTGCTTTATTCAAAGTAATGTCCATCGCTAGCTACACATTTGTCCATCTTTCAGGTAATTTATAGATACCATACCAATAAAACTTTTCTTGTTTTGAGGCAAACCATTCAGAGTCCCAATTTTCCACTTTGTATATTTTGAAGTGCTGCTTAGAAAGTGCGGGTGCCATTGATCGGAACAAGTGGTAATCTGAAGGAGCAAGGTTTTGTGAATGCAGCGGGTGGGTTAATACTTCCCAGGCAAGATCTTTTAACGTGTCTTTAACTGGTTTTGAAGTTTGTGTTGTTGCATCATCAAGAAGAAAAATTACTTTGCTGTGTCTTCTGGTACATTCTGGTAGTTTCATGATCAAAGCATGGTTCAAATTGGTTATTTGTTGTTGGTAATGATCAGAAGTAACGGTTTCACCTGGTTTTAGAAGCTCATAATACACTACACCTTCCTGATCCCACAAAACTCAGAGCATTGTCTTCTTTCCAAAGCGATTTGGATTTGCAGTCGATGTTGATGGTTGACATGGATCAACTCATGATTTTGTGCATTTGGGATCCTCAAAATAAATCCACTTTTCATCACCAATAACAATTCAATGCAAAAAAGACTTTCTTTTGTGCCATTGAAGCAACATTTTACTGATGACTTTTCGGTTTAACATTTGTCTTTCGGTCAGTTGATGTGCCTGTTTTCCTCCCTTTAAAATATTTCGATTACTTGTAAATGATTGGAAATTGTTTGCTGAGCAGTGTTTAATCTCTCTGCAAGTTGTTTTTGAGTTTGACACACATCTTTATCCAAAATTCTTGTAATTGTTGGTCTTCAGACTTTTTTGGTTGACCTGCCTGTTCTTGTCTTTCACATCAAAATTATTACTTTTAAAGTGTTTAAACCAGTGTTCACAAGTATTTTGAGATGGAGCATGTTCACCATAAGCTTCCCCAAGTATTCAGCAGCACTTTTCTTCAAAATAAAGTAATGAATTAAAACTTCCCACAAATGTTCTTTTTTTTGGCACAAAATTTGAAATTTTTAAGTGTAAAAATATCTTATGATGTTAACACCTTCAGCAAATTTGATGTATGAAATTTTGAAGTTTGTCAATACAACAAAATAGTATACATATCAAATTGCATATATATCAACATATGTGTAACTCCATCTATTGAAAAAAAAACCACATTATTAACCGGTATCCCTAATTGTGTGTGTGTGTGTGTGTGTGTGTGTGTGTGTGTGTGTGTTCCTGCAAGGGCTTGGCCCCTGTCTGTGGTGGTGGTGATCACCTCTGCCTCAGCCCCTTCTGCTGCGGCTTCATCCAGAAGGTCTTCCGGAAGAATGACCAATCTAATTAGCATATTAGGCTTTTTTATTATAGATGATACTTTTTAATTCTAATTTTAAAACTGGGGCTTATATACCATTTAAGTAATGAAATGGTCCTAAAATGAATGAAACAGTTTTTCATTCTGAGTCTTGGGGGTAGTCAACTTAGATTATAAAAATAAATCCATGCAGCCCCAGCTGGTTTGGCTCAGTGAATAGAGCATCAGCCTGTGGACTGAAGGGTCCCAGGTTCAATTCTAGTCAAGGGCACTTGCCTGCGTTGTGGGCTGGATCCCCAGTAGGGGGCATGCAGGAGGCAGCTGATCAGTGATTCCCTATCATCATTGATGTTTTTATCTCTCTCTCTGAAATCAGTAAAAATATATTTAAAAGTACATAAATAGCCGAAACTGGTTTGGCTCAGTGGATAGAGTGTCCCAGGTTTTATTCCGGTCAAGGGCATGTACCTTGGTTGTGGGCACATCCCCAGTAGGGAATGTGCAGGAGGCAGCTGATAGATGTTTCTCTCTCATTGATGTTTCTGACTATCTCTCTCCCTTCCTCTCTGTAAAAAAATTAATAAAATATATTAAAAAATAAAAATAAGAGTACATAAATAAATCCATACAAATGCATTTATATTTTTGCTTTGTCACATAATTCTATGTGTATATCTTTTGTTTTCTGGTTAGATTTATTCTCCTGACCACACCAGCAGTAGTTTTCCATCAAATCCATCAACACCAGTTGGATCACCTTCACCTCTCACAGGTAGGCTTTTATTTTATCTAACTACTTAATAACATGTAGGGGCTACTTGGAAATATTTTAAATTAAGTTTTTAATAAAATCCAGATAAAATTCATGAAAACGTAGATTTTGAGAAAGCTTGTGAACAGAGAGCTTTCCTCCTGGGTTCATCTTTTGAAACTATTAAAACATTTGCCACTCTTGGATTTTTCATATCTCCTCTCATTCTTAAAATAATTTGTAATTTCTAAGGATAATTGTTTTAACAACATAAAAAATATGGCTAGGCAATTGGATGAAGGCAAAATATGGAGAAGGAAATAAATCAAAAGTTTTCATAAGATACCATAGAAAATAAAGTAATCTATTTAGAAGTACATGTAACTTCTTCCTTGTTTGCTTCATTTCCCTGTACCATGTGTGGGACTCAAAAAATGTATAATTGTTTTTGCTAGATAGTTTGTCTTTATTTTTAGGCTCAATAAATTATTATTTTGTATACTAGAGACCCAGTGCACGAGATTTGTGCAGGGGGGAAGGTGTCTCCCTCAGCCCAGCCTGCACCCTCTCCAACCTGGGACCCCTCAAGGGATGTCTGACTGCTCATTTAGGCCCAATCCCACTGGCAGTCAGGCATCCCTCTCACAATCCAGGACTGCTGGTTCCCAACTTGCTCACTCCCCTGCCTGCCTTCCTGATTGCCCCTAATCGCTTCTGCCTGCCAACCTGGTCACCCCCTAATCACTCCCCTGCCAACCTGATTAATGCCTAACTGCTCCCCTGCCAGCCCATTTTCCCCTGTCTCCCCTGCAGGCCTGGTCACCCTAACTACCCTCCCCTGCAGGCCTGGTCACCCCTAACTGCCCTGCTCTGCAGGCCCGGTCCCCCCCAGCTACTCTCCCCTCCAGGCTTGGTTCTCCCCCCCCCCCAATTGCCCTTCCCTACATGCCTGGTCACCCCAACTTATCTCCTCTACTGGCCTGGTCACCCCTAACTGCCCTCCCCTGCTGGTCTGGTCCCTCCCAACTGCCCTCTCTTGCTGGCCATCTTGTGTCCACATGGGGACAGGATCCTTGACCACAATGGGGGCAGTCATCTTGTGTGTTGGAGTGAAGATCAATCTACATATTACTCTTTTTTTAGATAGGATAGAGGCCTGGTGCATGGGTGGGGGCCAGCAGGTTTGTCCTGAAGGGTGTTCCGAATCAGGGTGGTAGTTACCTTAGGGTGTGAGGTGGCCTGGGCAAGGGGCCTGTGGTGGTTTGCAGACCGGCCACGTCCCCTGGTGACCCAAGTGGAGGTCCTGGTATCTGGAGTTTATTTATCTTCGACAATTGAAACTTTGTAGCCTGGAGCAGAGCCAAGCTTTCTGTTTGCTCTGTGGCAGCAGCCATTTCTGTTGGGATTCGTCTTTTATAATTGAAACTGTGTAGCCTAGAGTGGAGGCCTGAGCCAGCCAGGGTGTGCGGAAAGCTTGGCTTCCTCCATCGCCAGAGAAACCCAAGCCTCCTTCCTGCTCTCTCTGGCCACAGCCATCTTGGTTGGGTTAATTTGCATACTTGCTCCTGATTGGCTGGTGGGTGTGGCTAGTAGGTATAACAGAGTGATAGTTTTCATATTGCTCTTTTACTAGCTAGAATATGTAAATAAATTCCTGGGTGAGATGTTGGGTTTTTTTTGCTAAGGAAAAGAACTCTTTGTGGATGTAGATAAATATTGTTAGTGGAGTTAAATAAGTGGCTCAGATTTGCTTTGTGTTCCCTTTTTTTCACATTATCTTTAATAAGTTTCAAACATATCCTTCCTACAGTATAAATTTGTTGCAATACGAATATTATTGTAAATAGAAAATTTTAGGTTTATTAGGAATAAATAAAATTATAGGGAAATGCTTAATATCTGTTAAGCTATAATTTTAAAACTTAAATTTTATTTTCTACCAGTATTTGGAGAAAAAATATGCTGAAAAAGAAAGGTATTAGTTCTGAGGAAAGATATTAGGCTAGTCAGGCAAATGGATAAAAATTGCCATATTCCTCCAATAGTTAACCTCAGAAAGTATTCTCTTTCTGTTAAAGCCATTAATTAAGTTTGTATGGTTTTGTTAAAACCTTTTTTGCATTGTGCAGGATTTCTGAAAATCAGGGCTCTGGTGTATCCAGGCCCTGACTATCACCTGTGCTATGTGTGTTAGCCAGTGATCCTGCTCCGAGCATTCCAATGTGGAGATGATGAACTGCTGGCAGCTGCCTTCAGCTATTAGCAGGTTCTGCCACTTTCTCAGACACCATGGCTTCAGCTGTCTAGTAAAAGTTGAACAGCTGTTCCCCACATAGACTGGACTATGAAAGACCCATTGATTTAAAGTTGTTGTTTAACAGTAAGCTGAAATTACCGGAAGAATGATGTAACTTCAACCCTACTCACCCTCTTGGCAGAGTTTTACTGAAATTATTGGTATCATTTTTGCCAGGGCCTGTTTCATTTTCTCATCTGAGGTGCTACATTAGTCCTTTACTACATGTTTCCACTGCCTCTGCTCCACTGCCCAGTAAGATAGCTATAAAAGTGTCCTTTGGTTTTCATTACCAAATAAGTGGATAGAAAGCAGGCAACAGAGAAGCTCAGCATCTATGAAGTAATATCAGTAAAATGGAAAATGAGAGACTTAGACATTTAGAAAAACAAACAAACAAACAAAAAAAAACGACAGACCAAAGTCGAATCTCACATTTCTTCCTCCATTTTTAGATTATGTTTAATGGGTGGAGTCCTCTTTTCCCCTTAATTTAGCTGATTAATGAAAATCTATGGACTGTTGAATTGTTGTAATGAAGCTGTTAAATAGACTTTTAAATTAGTATTCTAATCAAAGAAAAATACTTTTAAAGGGCAAATTGACAACTGATTTTATGCAGGTGTGTATCTCCCATTTCCTGTATCTAGTGATTCCTTTTTATCACACCACACACACACACACACACAGTTTGCAGAGATGAAGAGGGAGGAGTGAAAAGGGGAAGTAGTACTATGTGATAAAGTATTCATAATTGAAAGAAAAATGAAAAAGATGGCGCAAAGCAACACTCCTCTATAATGTGGAAATTATGTATCCTGTATGGCAAGTGGTGTGTTTTCTAGAGTAAAAAAATTCTACCCACTGTGTGCTCTCTACTCCTGCCCTACCCCTTATGCCTCATCAGCCAGACTGAGCACAGGCCTGTAAGGATAGATAAACAGGTGCAGAGCCACGGAGGCAGCTTCTGAGGAAATCATCATTCTTACTTAACATGTGAAGTGCCTCCATTTTGTCTTCTGGACAGAAAGTATAGTGTCAGTCACTGGTGACTGACAGGGTACTTAATGTGTTAAATCCTGCTCATTTTCCTTGGGAACTTTTCAGGCCAATGACATACGTTTTTACTGATAGAATGCTTATGAGGAAATTTCTGAGATGATATTCTATCATTTATGAAGCTTTAGGCTGAAAGAAAGAGAAACTCTTGTCTCAGCTAGCTGAAATAGTAAGGGGGTTGGGTATCTTGTATGACAAGAAGCTCATACAGAGCAAGTTCTTGGACCATTATATCCTTTGCAATTTCTTCCTCAGACTTGAGGCATGATAGCAGTTCAAGGTCCCACATGTGGACATAACAGTGTCCAATAGGAAAAAAAGAACCATCTTTTCTTTGTCTTTAAGAATCCTTCTCTATAAATCTCTTCAACAGATTTCCCCTCATGATTCATTGGTCAATGTTGAACACAATTGCTCTCAACAGACATAGACCCAACATGTTTATCTTAGACATCAGGTTTATCCGAAGAGGCAAAGATACAATTACTCTTCCCCAGCTCACACTAGGAAAGGACACACACACACACACACCTTCTGAACAAAACGACTCTGGCAGCAAGATCGAAGAGTAGCTGTATCTATTACAGTTGTCATTTGGGAAGACATTAGTATTTGAGTTAAGAGAATGTGTTTATTAAGGGAACTGAGAAAGCAGACAAGCAAAACCATGTTTTGACTGTATCTGCTTCTTGAATATAAGTGAATAAAAGTTTAATAATTTCAGTATTCAATGGCAATCTTCAGAATATTCACAATGAAAATAAAGAGGAGAAGAAGAGAGGAAAGAAAGAATTTCTTAGTTTTGATTAGTTTAATCAATAAGATATTTGTCTAAAGTAGAGTACTCAAAGTTCATACGAGAGTAGTATTTTAAAAGGGGGTGAAGTTTCTGGTTATAAAGGGAAAAGCAGAGCAAAGATGCAGATGTAACAAAGTATGTGACCTGTTCCTCCAGAACCATTGAGAATACTGATTATGAACTCTTCATGTGTGAATGTGTGAAGAAGTAAGATGGAAAGATTGGCCAGGGCCAGATTGTGGAACACAAAGCACTAAATGCTACCTTAAAGATTAGCCAACCTTTCCCAAACATAGGGGAATCTTATGAATGTTTAAGTTTAGGGTGAGATTACAAAGGGAAACAACTAACAGAATAAGAAAATGCATGGTAAATGGTTCTAAGATTTTCTCTCAGCCACACAAAATGTTATTATCCTTTAAATTTATTAATCAATTTTATTTAGGCAAAAGAAAGAACAGATCAGAAACATTGAATGAATTTTAGATTTAGTGATCAAAGGCAGTCTTCCCTGATTTTCTAGCAGAATAATTTGATGCTGTTTTCGTGGTCACCCATATTACTTGTTTTCTGGAAGTGTTCAATAGATTTTAATATCAAGTAGATTTATTATAACCTTCTTGAGTAAAAGTTAGCTCTTTGGGGTGCTCACTAAAAGCCAGAGCAACTATAGAAATTAACTATATTAATATTTGAAAGCTTATTCCTATCTAATAAAAGGAAGTAGGAGCCTAAAACTTCTATAAGGGTATTATGCTAAGTGAAATAAGTCAGACAGAAGAAGATAAGTACTATATGATTTCATTTACATGTGGAATCTTAAAAAACAAAATAAACTCATTGGTTCAGAGAACGTATTGATGGTTA